AGGAACCTGCATTGAAATTGTGGCACACCTGAGCTTTCCCTAGAAAGGAGATGGGCCTACCCAGTTTATCCTGCTGACCACCCTCATGTTTATTGTGAGGAGTGTAAAGTGGATTGAGGGGTGGGAGTGGGGTGGATGGATCAGCCACAGAAGGGCACAAATCAGCCAAGTGAGTTGAAGAATTACATATGGCACAAGACGGGGGCCTCAGACCAGCGAGGTGGCGACAGAATAATTCTGTATCCATCTGACACCAGTTAATTCTTATGCTAAATTGTTTCAGATGTGTCGCCGCTTTCGCTGATATCGATTTATGATAATCATAAAAAGATGAGCCCCCTTACTTGACGCCCAAATCCACCACTTTATGGAGATAGAGGTCCAGTTCCTCTCTCCTGTGGGGATATACCGAGCAGATGACATCACGGTATGTCCTGAAAGCCAAAACGAAATTGGGAATAGATAATTTTTTTATTGAGCCTAGGGTCTCTGGTTTTAAGAACCACCGAAATATCCCCAAAGTTATAAGTCCTGTTCTCCAGTACGTCTTGGGAGGCTATAAGCAATGACACCAGACACACGTCCTTCCCATCCAGGATTTCTTTCCTAATGGAGTCTGGGACAGAGTGAGCTGGTGACACAAAAGGAGACGTATCTGAGGCAGGAACTGAAGGAGGAAGTATAGGGGCAGGAGTTGGTGCCGTAGGTACTGCCGGGGTGAGGGCTGAGAGGTCAGGAAGGTTACCTGGGGAGGCTATGGCACTCTCGACCTTGCTTAACCTGCTGTTCAAGGTCTGCAGGTTGGCCAGGATTGCCGCAAGGGTGTCCTGGTTGGCTATGCCAGCGCCAGATGGTTGACCTTGAGAGCTAGTGCCTGGCCTAGGCTCAAGGGCCTGGTATGTCAAAGTCTGTAGAGTTCCGCCTTACGTGCCGTAGCCGGAAAGGGGATGCCCCTAAGCCTAAATTCGGCCGTAATTTTTGGAATAGTCCACGCTCTCAAAAACGTAGGAGTAGAGGGGGTGAGAGATTCGCCTGGAGACTCAGGTCTGATAGGAGTAAACGGAATCTAATTGGTAGGCAACTCGTCAATGGGAACCGGATCTTGAGACATTCTAGAAATTAATTAATTAATTGGATTTAGAAGGGGCGTATGAGAAAATGAAATGGGGGGAAGGGGGTTCCTAAGGTGAACTGGACTGTAAGGCTATTGCCGAAGCGAAAAACTTAAAGGACCACTATAGTGCCAGGAAAACATACTTGTTTTCCTTGCACTATAGTGCCCTGAGGGTGCCCCCACCCTCAGGGTCCCCCTCCCGCCCGGCTCTGGAAGCGGGAAAGGGGTTAAAACTTACCTTTTTCCAGCGCTGGGCGGAGAGCTCTCCTCCTCCGATCCTCCTCCTCTCCTCCCCGTCGGCTGAATGCGCACGCGCGGCAAGAGCTGTGCGCGCATTCAGCCGGTCACATAGGAAAGCATTCATAATGCTTTCCTATAGACGCTGGCGTGCTCTCACTGTGAAAATCACAGTGAGAAGCACGCAAGCGCCTCTAGTGGCTGTCAATGAGACAGCCACTAGAGGAAATAGGGGAAGGCTTAACCCATTCATAAACATAGCAGTTTCTCTGAAACTGCTATGTTTATGAAAAAATGTGTTAACCCTAGCTGGACCAGGCACCCAGACCACTTCATTAAGCTGAAGTGGTCTGGGTGCCTAGAGTGGTCCTTTAACTGTGACTAGTGACAGATGAGGCCCTACTAGTGCCAAGTGGCGGTGAGAGGCTCTATCTATGATTTGGCTGAGGTAAGTACGTTGCCACAGATGTGGTGGCGGGATGTTGGCCTCTCGATGACATTTAAGAGGTTCAAAACGTGTGGCCATGGAAAGTGAGGCTCTGACTACTGTAGAAGGACAAATGAGGTGTTTACCTATGATTTGGACGTGGGGCCGTACCTCTGTGTTGAGGTGGGAAATGGCTTTGTGAGACATGAAAAACCTTGTTAAGCTAGGTCCGGAGCACAGACTCTGTAAGCCAGTTCACGCACCTTCTATGGGATACTTAGAAAATTAAATAATTGGTGGATACTAACCTTGATAGTGATTATACCCTGGGGCTTGAACCTTTGAGTATTTAAGTAGAGAGGCGCGGTAGTTGGCGATATCGTAGAAGAACCTAGGGGTTTGAGACAGATGTTGATCTGTGTGAGCGTGACGTATGAGCGAAATGTGAGCTCCTGACCGAGTGACTAGTTTAGAGTGAAGGCTGCCTGAGGCCTTGAAAAATACATGAACTGAAGTAAATTAAAAACAGTACCTGGTTTGTAAGACAAGAACCAGGACTTTCAATTTAGCTGTAATATATGACAAATGGGCGATCTGTGGAGACCAAAGAAATTTAACAGAGCGAAGATTAATATCTGTACGTCAAGAAATTATATAATATTGTGTAATTATTATTTCTAATAGCTGAGACAGATGATGTGTGTGAATGTGACGTATGAGCGCAACGTGAGCTCTTGACAGAGTGACAAGTTAGAGTGAAGGCTGCCTGAGGCCTTGAAAATATAGAAACTGAAGGAAATAAAAACAATACCTGGTTTGTAAGATAAGAACCAGGGTTTGGCAATTTAGCTGTAATATACAACAAGATATATGATCTGTTAATATCTGCACAAAAAGCAATGGTACAATATTGTCAAAAAGTAACTCTTGTTTAACAACTAATTTCTTTAGATTGGGCAAGCTACATAAACCTTTATTAAACATAAAGAAAGGAATCAACCAATAACGTAAACCACAAGGTGGTGATAACAGCCCACTGACTGGCATATGAAAACTGACACAAGGCGCAACGGAAAGCATTTGTGAAAGTTTTCACAGATAGAAGCATTTTGCCGTAATATATATTAGAAATGTGTAGAACTGAGAATACAGCTTTTACACATACTGTTTAAAAGCATAGCATGGATTCTGAGAGCCAACAGACACTGTCCTAATGCAGTTACACATAAACAATCAGTTACCTAGGCAACAAGTGTAACGTTAACCGAAGAACTTGAACTTGAGCGTCAGAGGTGAGTAGGGGCTGGGAGCTTAAGTAGGGGACTTACTCCTCCCACAAATTCAGGCCTAATGGCCTTTCTACATATATACAGTATATTATTTGAAAAGTCTTCAGATAGAAGATGAAACCTGTTTGGGATAATAAGAGTTTATTTTAAGACCATGCTAGAGCATTTTCCATGAGTTATATACCACTACATATTGTTGTTGTTATCTTTATTTTGTCTGTCTGGATTTGTGATTTTGTAAAATAATAGGAACAAATAGAGCAGATCTTGTATTATTAAAAAGCAGGAGTACCACTGTAGAAGTGAACTCATGTGATTCACTGCAGAGACATGGTTTAGGCTTTATTTCATGTGAATCTAATAAATGTTAGAATAATTTAATTTATATCTGCATATGGTTAAAATAATACACAACAGGAGAATGTTGCCTCTATTTAAGGAATCAACACCTATACAATGAGACAATTTCCAAAGGCTTCAAATAGGGTAACTGTTCTTTTCTGAAATACATAGAGCTTACATACACTTGGGCTTAGAGTTTTACTCCATGTACTTTCTATTGTCAGAGTTCCTGTTGCGAGCGCCGTTTTCTCTCGGTTTTTGATATGGAATGCATCCCAGCATCTCACAATTACATCAGTTCCAGTTCACACCATCAAATGAGTTCTCCCTTACCTGACATTCACACGTTAAAGGGAGATCATGTTTCTTTTTTAAGGTCTGTGTTTTCAATGGCTAATGTTAAATGGTATTTTTGAACTGTTGTATCTCTTGTTGCAGAAATGTGTAGTGTTGAAAAATATAAAAAAATTTTCATTGGCTAGTGTTGACCCTCTTATTCTCTTGACATCTTGACTTCTTAATGGCTGATATTTTTTATGTTTTATTTAGGGTCCTGGCATCAGCGTATATTTCGACTTCAGCTCATTATAGATATTCCCTTACGTTAGTCTATCATTTTCTTATTTTTCTATCTTTCTGGGTTTGCATCTTGCGAGGAAGTGTCTTACAAAAACCTGTGATACATGGTCTACAAGCACTAATATGAACTATCAACGGAAGAACAGTATATAGCATTTACTTTGATCATAAGGACTGTGTCACCTGTTTGTACATGATTAGGTTATTACAGCTCAACTCTAAAGATTTGTTTGCACCATATGTGGAACAAACTAACAGGTTTTTTTTTTTATTTAGTTTTTTAAAATTCTTTATTTTTATTTGTGCATGAAGTAACAACAGGCCTGCAGGGTCACAACAGCAGCTGCAGGAATATTCATTGCATTGCAAAGTCTGACAGTTTAAACAGCACATTTTTTCTTGTTTATAACATGAAAAAGACAGGCTATGAGACTTCAATAGTTGGCAGTAAACATGCTATGCTGGATATCCATATGACAACATTATCTACGCTTACGCTTATAGCATGGTATTGAAAGAACAAGTTGCAAAAATAATAAATGAACGGTAATAGTGCATTTAGCCTGTGGTGTTGCATGACCTGTAACTTGGCTAGTCTGGTAACGATACAAATAACGCATGTTAACAACGCTATCCATATAAACAGGTTAAGACAGTTAGATTATAACGTGATATTTATGCTAGGTCTGAATATGTCGCTTTAATAGAGTTAAGTCGCTTTGATTAGGTTATCACCCTGGTTGCTCCACCAGTCTCAGTGAGGAAGACCATCGACATCGGAAGTCTCGGGTTCTCATGTGCCGGGGTAGTCCCATCGCTAACAGTTACCTGCTTTGTTTTGTATGGGTAGCAGGGAGTGAGTGTCCGTTATATGAGCCGTCCTGGCTGTGCTGTGGATTTCTCTCTGGATGTCCATGAATTGCAGCTGCGGTGTGGTGATAATGCCCCTTTTTTCCCTCTGTGGGCTGACGCCCACCATAGTAAGGAGTTTGGTGGCGCCCACATGGGTTTTTCACTTTTTGGATCGATTGGTTGCAGGCTGGGAGGGATGTGAGTGGTTGGACGGTCTCCTTGTCGGATTGTTCTGCTGGGCAGCAGGCTCAGTGTTTCCAGGCGGGGATGTGCGATGCGCGGTGTATTTCTGTCTCCCCGGTGTAGCCGTTAACCTCGTTGGTGATTGTGGCTGCAGGGGTAAGTGAGGGTTCTCCCGCCCCTCCGTATGGCAAGGTCGGGAGGTGGGAGCCGCGGTGTCCTCCGTGAGCCCCAGGAGAGGGCTGGTCGTCCCTTTGTCCTCCGCGCACATGGTGCCCGCCATCTTGGATGCAGCAGCTAGGCCTGTCGGTCTCGGTTGTAGTGTCTTGATCAGGGCCACAGGGTGAGGGCCGGGACAACCCCCACCGGCCCACAAGGGGGGGAACAGGGCCGGGTCCGCTTCGGTGTGCACCTCTGGCTGGGTACTGTGTAGCGGGATAGAGGGCAGCGGCCGTCCGCCCCACTCAGCGCCTGAGAAGGCCTCAGTTGAGGTAATGAGAATTTCTCCTCCAGGGGACTGCAGCTCGGTGAGCCAGCCTCTCCCTGGAACCAGTGGTCCTTCTGTTCAGGGCACCATTGCTGTCGGTCTGTTTTTAGATGGAAAACCATGGTTTAATCGTGTTATTTAGTAGTGTAGTTCAGGAGCTGCTCTTGCTTGCCACTGTCTAGCTCGGCGGTCCGGCCCCGCTCCCCCACAAACTAACACTTTTAACTTTTCACTGTCAATCACCTCTGCCAAAAGGCAATTAACAGGCGATTATGCTCACCATGAAACTTCAAGCTCTCTCTGTCTGTATAATTTCATTTAAAAATGACAATGATTTACTGAGTTACTTCTATGATAGAGAGCAATGTCAAAATAAACCAAACTAGAGTGGGGAATAAACACATTTTATTAGTTTTTCTATACATTAAAATTGCATATATGTTTATAAAAGCACTGGGAAATATATCTATATTCAAAATTACCGTCTTAACTAAAATACATCTTACAATGATGTTTATAAAGTAGCCTGTACTGGTGAAACCCTTATATTATTTTTCGTCTTAGTATTACAACTTTGAAGGCAAAATAAATCTATATGTGTACAAACAGGAATATGTATATAGTTACATATAACTGTGGTTATAATCAAAGCTTAGTCAAGTACACAAAAGTATTAACTAACTGGGCAATGATGTCCCCAATGACTGGGAATATCAAGGCAGAACTGCTACCAACTCATGTGACAAGATACATAACAGTGAGCCAACCAACTGAGACATAAAAGGCCCATTGTAAGCGCCATCATTTCCTATCATTGGATGTGTGTGTATGTCTCTTGTCACTGTATCATTACACACAGGCTCTTACAATTGCAGTGATTTGCAAAAAAATACTTCTCCTACTCTTTCAGATAGTAATGGATGATGTTTCACTGCACTTCTCTGTTGCCATTTACTTGTGGAATACCAGCAGGTGCATTCAAGGTGAGTATTTCTTATTTATGTTTAATTTAAAAAAAAAAAAATTTATTTTAAATAATTAAACATGTGTATCTCTTCATGCTTGTAGCGTCCTTCTAATGCCCTGCCAAAAACTGGGATTTAAATGACTAGTTGATTAGGAGATGGCATCTGTGGGAGGCTAGGTAACTTGGTCCTTACCTTTTAGCAAACCACACAGCTTCAAAACATATATATTTACTGATATGGTTTACTGAGTCGTATCGTTTGGAATCCACTCAGGCCACTTCAATAAGGTCTACTACCAGGGCCGGACTGGGAAGAAAATTCGACCCGGGCATTTTTTAATTACAGCGGCCCACTACAAAGGGGGCGGGGCCAGATAGGGTGGGTTTTGTCATCACCAATGACAAGCACGCCCCATCACAAAGTGAGCATGTTGGTTCAATGCTCTTCCAGGGTAGACCATTCGCAGAGCTCTGCTGAAGAGCTCTGGCATGAGAAAAAGACCCTGTATTTGTTCTGCACAGCGCAAGCAAATTCAATAACATGCTTGCACTGTGTTTGCTTGAAATTTGTCTCTGGTGTCTCCATAGTTGGGATACCAGGAGACAAAAATGCTAGGAAAGCATATTGTGCAGTGTGTGTGTGTATGGGGGTGTAGTGTGTGTGCGAGAGGGGTGCAGTGTGTGTGAGGTGTTTAGTGTGTGAGTGATGGGTGCTGTGTTTGCGTTAGGGTGCTATGTGGGTAAGGGTGCTGTGTGTGTGTGTGCTGTGTGTGATTGGGTACTGTGCTTGCGTGAGGGTGCTATGTGTGTGTGAGGAAGCTGTGTGTGCCAAGTGCAGTGTGTGGGTGCTGTAAGTGTTAGGGGTGCAGTGTGTGTGTGCTGTGCATGTCAGGGGTGTAGTGAGTGTGTGCTGTGAGTGTCAGGGGTGCAGTGTGTGTGTGTGTGTGTGTGTGAGGGTGCTGTAAGTGTTAGGGGTGCAGTGTGTGTGTGTGTGTGTGTGTGAGGGTGCTGTAAGTGTTAGGGGCGCAGTGTGTGTGTGTTTTTGAGTGAGGGTGCTGTGAATGTCAGGGGTGCAGTGTGTGTGTGTGTGTGTGAGTGAGGGTGCTGTTAGTGTTAGGGGTGCAGTGTGTGTGTGTGTGTGTGAGTGAGGGTGCTCTGAATGTCAGGGGTGCAGTGTGTGTGTGGAGTGAGGGTGCTGTGAGTGTTAGGGGTGCAGTGTGTGTGTGTGTGTGTGAGTGAGGGTGCTGTGAATGTCAGGGGTGCAGTGTGTGTGTGTGTGAGTGAGGGTGCTGTGAGTGAGACGGAATGCCCCCTCCCCCCTTACCTTTAGCCTGGGAGGGGGGGATCCTGCTGCTGGGGCTGCCATCCATCCCTGGTGGTCTCAGTGGTGAGTGAACTCTAGCCTATAAGGCTGGAGTTCACTCTCGCAAGACCCGGAGCGTTGCCATGGCAACGCTCCGAATCTCGCGCGAGGAACCAGGCGGAGCTGTAAGTTAAAGCTCCGCCGGGTTCCTCTGCTGGCAGGCTGGCTCCCTCCCTCTCTACCCGCCGGCAGCCGCACTATCCTGCATGTGGGCCGGTGAGGGAGATCTTTGATCTCCCCACCGGCACGCCATGGACTACTGCAGGGCCGGCGTTCGGATAGTGCCGGCCCTGCAAAGACCGGCAGGGGAGATCCTGTGCATTTGCCCGGTGTGCCCGATGGCCAGTCCGGGCCTGTCTACAACATGTTTATTCCTCCTTCATATGAAATGGTCCTTGAGAGCCAGCCAGTCTCACTGTCTTGTCACTTTTTGCCCTTAATATTACACGGTCCAGGAATGGGGATTTTGCTTTGAAAGACTGGATTAAAATTTAAATCAAATATTAGAAGTTAAAAATGTGAATCATAAGCAATTAAATGAGTTATGCTAACAGAAAAAGCACAAGCATATGTGCTCAATAAGAAGGCAGTGTTGCATCAACATCCATTTTTTACATTTATACTGTTAAGAGAAGAATGCACACAGCACTTTGCTGTAACTAACGTCTGAAGAAGAAGAATCTGCAAGCACCCAGTTACACTTTTTGGTGTATTTTGACTTACGGCTGCTGGCTGCCATCCAATGTGGCCAGCTGTCAAGGAGGCCACAAATGTGTTGTTTTTCTGCCGCCACGATATGATGTGCCAGCTTCCAGTATAAATATCCAGGGTGTCAATTGCTATCAAATGCCAGCATCTGCTGATAAGATGTCAGAACTCAAACTTCACTTATTTAAAGGGACACTATAGGCATCTAGACCATTTCATCTCATTGAACTGGTCTGGGGGCGGTGTCCATGCCCCCCTTAGTCCACAGTTTTAGAGAAACTGCAATATTTACATTGCAGTACTACAACTGCCTCTATTGGCAGTCTACCAGAAAGCAACAAGAGGCACTTCCTGGAGTTTCACAGAGTTTGACTCCATGTGAGGACATCCAGCACCAAGGGAAATCAGATAGGAAAGATAGAACGCATTAGTCCCCACCATTGGCTGATGTCAGAGGACACGGAGCATGACCTAGCGTCGGGGGACCTAGGCACTGGAATTGGATATGTGAGTAAAGGGTTATTGAAGCACGGGCACCGAAGAACATGTTAGCGTTATAAATTCATCTTTGTAGTCCTACCACTAAAGTGTTCCTTTAAATAAAACTTCCTGTCAATATTTAATATCTAAGAGCACCGAACCCCTTGCGCCATTGGCTCTTCTTTGGGTTTCACTGGATTTTAATACAACGCGAAAAGGACTGGTATCCATGGGAGGCTGACACTATTAGTTGCTACTATTTCATTGATATGCATTACTTGAATTATTGCTCACTCTTATATTACCTTTGTACATTCCATTAATGTATTGATACTGCATTGCTTTTCCTACTAAACTCTGGTTATATGTGTGTAAACATCATAGGTGGAGAATTACCCATGTCTGTGTGGGTTCACTATTTGATCAGAGCCTCAATGCTTCCTGTGACAAAGAGGAATGTGTATATCAGCTGCACCAGCACTTTGACATGAACAGGTAGCAAGGGGGTTACACTTGTGACAAAAAATCATGGGCTTTTTGACTTCAGCTTGCATTCTACCTCAGCACTGGCAGCCACGGCACACTCACCCCACCTTCTCCCAGGTTGGTGACATTTGGGTCCTTTGTGACAGCTGCTTTTACTGAGCATCTTAAATGTAGAATTGATCCCTTCAGTCTTATTCCCTTTTATACATTTGGAACAATGGACAAACAGTATCTGTATGGAAGTGCTCAGAGCTGCCTGGAGTCATGCAGAGATCTGCAGAGCTCTTACTAACTAGCCAGGAAAAGTATCACATGGATAAGAGTCACCAATAAAGAATCAGGAATAAAGCTTAAGATATGTCCTATTCAATAATTTCTTTATTTTTAAATGAAATATAAGTAGCATAGATTATAATGTTTCTGTGCTTTAAGAGGAATTGTCATTTCTTTTTAATATTATGTTTACATATCCCTATATTTAACAGATATGCATGTGTGAGGAGTGAAAAATAAATGAAATATAGAAATCCACACTTCTTTATCTTGCAACTGGGTGCCGCCATCAAATCATTGTCAATCATTGTTAGAAGCTCTGTCCTTTGCACCTGGCAGTCAGCATAAAGAAGGTAGACAGGGAAGTGGGGGAATTAAATAATAGTTCTAAACTGCAATGTTTGCCCTAGCTTGGTCTTGTCTGAACTGAATTATGTATTTTGATAAATCTTTAATATAAACTTAAAACAACACTCCAATAACCATAACCACTACAGCATGCTGTTGATGTTAAAGAAG